ACCCCCCCACCTCCCTGGGCAGGCTGTTCCAGGGCCTGACCACCCTCTCAGGAAAGTAGTTCTTTCTAATATCTAATCTAAATCTCCCCTGCCCCAACTTCAGACCATTTCCTCTGGTCTTGTCGTTCGTCCTTTGGGAGAAGAGGCCAACACCTGCCTCTCTGCACCCTCCTTTCAGATAGTTGTAGAGGGCAATGAGGTCTCCCCTCAGCCTCCTCTTCTCCAAACTAAACATGCCCAGTTCCCTCAGCCTCTCCTCATAGGACTTGTTCTCCAGGCCCCTCACCAGCTTGGTGGCTCTCCTCTGGACACGCTCCAGCACTTCAATGTCTTTCCTGGGCTTCTGTCTTCTCAGAGGCCTGGATGCCTTTGGCCGGGTGTGGGACTTGCGCACGGGACGCTGCATCATGTTTCTAGAAGGCCACCTGAAGGAGATCTACGGGGTGAACTTCTCCCCAAATGGGTAAGAAAGGGCCTTGAGTGGTTTACAAAGGAGCCCCGAGTCCAAGCAGTGACGTGTTCTTCCTCTGCCCCCTGGCAGGTACCACGTGGCCACGGGCAGCGGTGACAACACTTGCAAGGTGTGGGACCTCCGCCAGAGGAAGTGCATCTACACCATCCCTGCCCATCAGAACCTGGTCACGGGGGTCAAATTTGAACGTAAGTGTCTCCTGCCTGATATTCCTTATCCTGCCTGTCCTAAGCTGAGGTGGCAGGGGATGGGGCAACTCAAAAACCACACCTTCAGGTCCAAAAGGCCTGGTTAGCGGAGAAGATCTGTCACGTTTTTATTTGAAAATCTAATTCTTTTTTTTTTCTCATTTCTTTTTTCTCATCCTCCTCTGCCCGCAGCCAATCACGGCAACTTCCTGCTCACGGGCGCCTACGACAACACGGCAAAGATCTGGACTCACCCCGGCTGGTCCCCGCTGAAGACGCTGGCGGGACACGAGGGGAAGGTGATGGGGCTGGACATCTCCCTGGACGGGCAGCTCATCGCCACCTGCTCCTACGACAGAACCTTCAAGCTCTGGACAGCAGAGTAGCTCAGAGGTGCTGCTGCTGAACTGCAACAGAAGCGTTAATGGCTTTCAACTAAGACTTGCTTTTTTTTTTTTTATATTAAAGGAAGAAAAAAAAAAGGAATGGACTATTGGAACACACATTACTGCAGCTGCAGCCACTGCCTGGTCTTGGGCTGAGGTGGTTTTGAAGCACCTGTATTGGCCAGGGCTCAGCTGGAGACACATCTTGGGTGATGTTTTTCCACTTTTTTTGTTTTGATACTGCAGACACCGCTCTCTGCTGTGAGTTGGAGATGATCCATCTCCAAATGGATCCAAATGATCCGTCTCCAAATGGCTGCTTCCCACCTCCCTTCCAAGCCAGGCTCCCAGGCTTCCTCCAGCCTCTTGTGAACATTTGTAGGTGGCCACGGAGCACCTCGGGTGTGCTGTGTTCAGCTTCTGCTGACACCCTTCTTCCCTTCCATGTTCCAGGAGTCTTTGGTAGGAGTCTGTAGCTTCAAACATGATTTGTGTTTAAAGAAGAAAAAGGAGCTGTGAGAGGTAGAGGAAGCCCGTTTGCAGAGGGGGTGTGAGCGTGGGGGCTGTACCCCTTTGTGTTCACTCACGGGGGACATTAAAGGCCGGGGAAATTGTCTGTTCCATGAACCACCATGAAGTGACTGTTTCAAATCCACGTTCAGCTTCTGTGTCTCACCTGAAGTGACAGGAAGGCGGCTGTTTCAGTGTAGGATTGTCCTGTTCTAACTTCCACCCTGGGGAGCTTTCTGCTTTGTTGTTTATTTTATAAATTGAGGTTTTGCAAATGTGTTCTGGAAAACCAAAACAGGTTTTGGATGTGCACCCCCGGCTGGGGAAGGGAGAACTGACAGGTACTTCACACCACACGCTTTGATTTCTCTCCACTATCCCAAAACCTTCAGGAAAAGATGGATTGGTCTCCCCCTTCCCAGCTGAGGAGCAGTGTCCCTGGTCCTTGGGAAGGTGAGCAGGTTCTGCTCTCAACGCTCACGCTGCAGTTGGAGTTTGTGTTTTAAGAAAATAAAACCCAAGCCCCCTCACGAGTTTAGATCCCTCCTGGCAGAGTCAGGGGTTTTCTCCTGGCAGGATGGTGGCATCTGCCAGGTGTTGTGTGTTCACTCTGACTCCCAGGGAGATGCCATGGGACGGGAGGCAGCAACTAAGGCAGAAAAACATTTAATTGCATAATTATTGTATAATCTACATTTGCAGCTACATGTGCTCGAGCGGGTCCTTCCATGTCTCCTGAAGCACCAGCTCAGGTGCCTGTGTGAGCCTGGCACCAGCACAGGGGGCTCCTGGCCAGGACAAGCCCCCCAGGGGCTTTCTCATCAGGTGGCCATTCACAGGTCAGTCCTGGCCCAGCAGTTGCCCAGTGGGCCCCCACGCTTCCCGCTGCCTTAGGAGGAAATCTCAGACACCAGTGGATGTTCTCCAGTTACACTCCTGCTGGTCCTGGGGTACAGATCCCAGGGCAGGGTTTCTGTCGGAGCGTTTGGCCCCGTTGCAGCTCAGCTCCTCCTCAGCCCCACCACGTGGAGCTTTTGGACAGAAAATCCAGGGCTGGCTCTCTGGAGAAGAGGAGGCTGAGGGGAGACCTTTTCACCCTCTCCAACTCCCTGAAAGGAGGGTGTAGCCGGGGGGGGTCAGTCTCTTCTCTCAAGTCACAGGCGACAGGACAAGAGGAAATGGCCTCAAGTTACACCAGGGGAGGTTCAGGCTGGATATTAGGAAAAAAATTTTCACTGAAAGGGTTCTCAGGCATTGGAATGGGCTGCCCAGGGAGGTGGTTGAGGCCCCATCCCTGGAGGTGTTCAAAAGCCGGGTTGATGAAGTGCTGGGAGGTCTGGTTTAGTGATGATGCTCCTTGTTTGTTGTGTGGGTGTCTATTTTTGTCAGTGAGGTTGACGGTTGGACAAGATGATCTTTAAGGTCCCTTCCAACCTAGAAGATTCTGTGATTCTGAACGCAGCTGCGATTTGGCTTTTTTAGACAGCTCTAGTGCCTTCCCACCACCCACAAACTGAAACCATCAGTCCCCCTGCCCCACTGGTGCCACCTCGCTGGGCCCCGGGCACGAGGTCTCCTGCTGTTTGCAGTCCCGGGGAGCTCTCGGGGACTTGTGTCCCAAAAGGTTCCTGGGGTCAGAGCACGGCCACCTCCTCCAGCGCCGCGTCCGCCCGCTCCCTCGGCCGCAGCACGTGGATCCCCGCCTTCAGGCTGGCGCAGAGCAGCGCGGAGCCGTCGCAGGCGGCCAGCGAGGCCAGCGGGCCAGCTCCCTCCAGGCACAGGGTGGCCAGGCAGGCTGGGGGGGAATCACAGAATCACAGAATCTTAGTGGTTGGAAGGGACCTCTGAGATCATCGAGTCCAACCACAAAAAAAACCAAACCAAACAAACAAAAAAACCCCCAAACAAATACAAAACACACCACACCAAATGGCCACCAAAAACACCGCACCCACCAACTAAACCCCACACTCAACACCTCACCATAAACCAATAACCTTGGGCACTAGAGCATGCCCTGAAGAGCCATGTCTATACGTTTCTTAAATCCCTCCAGGGATGGTGACTCCACCACCTCCCTGGGCAGGCTGTTCCAGGGACTGACCACTCTCTCAGTAAAGTAGTTCTTTCTAATATCTAATCTAAATCTCCCCTGCCCCAACTTCAGACCATTTCCTCTGGTCTTGTCATTCGTCCTTTGGGAGAAGAGGCCAACACCTGCCTCTCTCCACCCTCCTTTCAGGGAGTTGTAGAGGGCAATGAGGTCTCCCCTCAGCCTCCTCTTCTCCAAACTAAACATGCCCAGTTCCCTCAGCCTCTCCTCATAGGACTTGTTCTCCAGACCCCTCACCAGCTTGGTGGCTCTCCTCTGGACACGCTCCAGCACTTCAATGTCCTTCCTGTATTGAGGGGCCCAAAACTGAACACAGCCCTCGAGGTGAGGCCTCACCAGTGCCCAGTCCAGAGGCACGATGACTTCCCTACTCCTGCTGGCCACGCTATTCTTGATACGAGCCAGGATGCCATTGGCCTTCTTGGCCACCTGGGCACACTGCTGGCTCATGTTAAGCCTGCTGTCTACCAACACCCCCAGGTCCTTTTCTTCCAGGCAGCTCCAGCCACTCTGCCCCAAGTCTGTAGCGTTGCCTGGGGTTGTTGTGACCAAAATGCAGGACCCGGCACTTGGCCTTATTAAACCTCATCCCATTGTCCTTGGCCCATTGATCCAGTCTGTCCAGATCCCTCTGTAGAGCCTTCCGACCCTCAAGCAGATCAACACTCCCACCTAGTTTGGTGTCATCTGCAAATTTACTGAGGGTGCAAGGGTGCAAGGGAAGGGAGATGGCAGTGGGGACACTGGGTCTGCGGAGATGAGACGGGACCAGACCAACCTCCTGGCTCTGCCCAAGGAGGGTGAGCTGCTCCCCTCCCTGTCCCACATCCCTGTGCCAAAGGAATCAGGAGATGTCCTCTGGAACACAGACCCTCCGCCCCCGTCAGCCCCACAGGGATCTGTGTTGCCCAGCTAACAGGGAGCCAGGCTGAGGTCGGACTGTACCCCTTCCCTGGAGAGGAAGTGGGGATGGACAGACGGACAGACAGTGACTTACACCCTTCCTGAATCAAGGCTTATGGCTGTGAAGGCAACAGCATCCAAAGCCATGTCCAGTCCTCAGCACAGGAAGGACACAGACCTGTTGGAGCAGGTCCAGAGGAGGCCACAGAGATGCTGGGAGGGCTGGAGCCCCTCTGCTGGGAGGGGGGGCTGAGAGAGTTGGGGGGTTCAGCCTGGAGAAGAGAAGGCTCCGGGGAGACCTTAGAGCCCCTTCCAGTCCCTCAAGGGGCTCCAGGAGAGATGGGGAGGGACTCTGGATCAGGGAGGGGAGTGATGGGACGAGGGGGAAGGGTTTGACATTGAAAGAGGGGAGATGGAGATGAGATGTGGGGAAGGAATTTTTCCCTCTCAGGGTGGTGAGAGCCTGGCCCAGGTTGCCCCGAGAAGCTGTGGCTGCCCCATCCCTGGAGGGGTTCAAGGCCAGGTTGGAGGGGGCTTGGGGCAACCTTCCAGGTTCCAGGAAGGTCCCTTCCAACCCAAACCATTTTGTGATTCTAAAAATGCCACTTGGGGCCATTTACTCTTGTCCCATTGCCTGTTCCTTGGGAGAAGAGACCGACCCCCCCTGGCTGCACCCTCCTTTCAGGGAGTTGGAGAGAGTGAGAAGGTCTCCCCTCAGCTTCCTTTTCTCCTGGCTGAACACCCCCAACTCCCTCAGCCTCTTGTTCTCCAGACCCCTCACCAGCTCCGTTGCCCTTCTCTGGACCTGCTCCGGCCCCTCGATGTCTTTCCTGTTGTGAAGGGTCTAAAACTGGACATAGCCCTCGAGGTGGGGCCTCAACAGTACCCAGAACAGGGGAATGGTTCCTGACACAGGCCAGGATGCTGCTGACCTTCTTGGCCACCTGGGCACCCCCCTGCCCTGCCACTGGATTAGAGTAAAACCCCGAGATTCCAGGCTTTGTTGTGCCCATCAGCACTGGGAGACAGAAACCACGCATTTTTCAGTGGTGCCCAGGGACAGAACAAGAGGAAATGGGCACAAACTTGAGTATAAGAAGTTCTATGATTTTGTTATCCCAGAGGGAAGCACATGGCGTGGGCAGGACCATCCCTTACCTCCGGTGTCCCGCTCCCAGACCTTCACCGTGCTGTCGTACGAGGACGTGGCGATGCTGGGGGTGGGCACCAGGCCCTGTGGAAGGAAGAGGCAGGAGGTGGTGGTCTGGAGATGTCCTCTGTACTCCCGCACGCAGTCCCGGGTCTGGCGCAGGTCCCACAGCTGCAAGGAAACAGGCAGTGCTGAGAGCTCGGGTCTGTCCCCCTCACTCGCCAACAGGGAGCTGCTTCACAAAGGAAGGGAGATGGTTTTGGATAAAGAGCTCCTGGCCAAGCCTCCAAGTACAGTGGCTGCTGCCTCTGTCCCCTGCTCATGCTCACAGTCCTGGAGGACTTCAAACCCCAAAGGATTTCCACCACTCCTGTCTGTTCCAGCGTGTGCCTCCACCCATTGACACTGGTGGGCTCTGTGGGCAGAGACCCCTGCTCATGCTCACAGTCCTGGAGGACTTCAAACCCCAAAGGATTTCCACCACTCCTGTCTGTTCCAGCGTGTGCCTCCACCCATGGAGCCCACTGGTGGGCTCTGTGGGCAGAGACCCCATCTCCAGCCTGATCCCGGCCTCAGCCCTGCTCCCCCGGGATGGGACGGTCCCTTCCATCTGATGCTCACACCCAGGGTTCTCCTGCTGAGAACCCGCAAGACTGAACCCCCGGTTTGGAAACACCTCGAGCAAGGGGTCCCTTACAGGCCTTCTGCAAGAACATCCTCAATGCTGCTACTGGCACAAACCCCCAGAGCTTTAATTGGGAAGAATTTCTGCTTAAAGAAGGTACAGCAAAGGGCTACCAGAATGAGGGGCCTGGAGCATCTCTCTTACGAGGAGAGGCTGAGGGACTTGGGTCTGGTTAGTCTGGAGAAGAGAAGGCTGAGGGGGGATCTGATCAACACCTATAAATACTTCAAGGGTGGGTGTCAGGAGGATGGGGCCAGGCTTTTTTCAGTGGTGCCCAGGGACAGGACAAGAGGGAACGGGCACAAACTGGAACATGGGAAGTTCCATCTAAACATGAGGAGGAACTTCTTTGCTGTGAGGGGGGCAGAGCCCTGGCAGAGGCTGCCCAGGGAGGTGGGGGAGTCTCCTTCTCTGGAGACATTCAAACCCACCTGGACACGTTCCTGTGGGACCTGCTCTGGGTGGCCCTGCTCTGGCAGGGGGTTGGACTGGATGATCTCCAGAGGTCCCTTCTGACCCCATGGGATTCTGTGATTCTCTGAGCAGAAGACTCACCAAAGGGACAGGCAGGAGGACATTAAGCTCTGGCCCCGGCTGGTGACACCAGCAAAAGGTCAATGCAGTGGGAGCAAGCAGATCCCTGGAGCACCGATCTGTTGCTCTCTGCTGTTGGCTGTGGACATTGGAGAAAAAAACCCCAGAAAGGGCAGGACTTGCTGCCCAGGGGACTCACGGTGGCCTCGCCGCCCTCCCCAGCGCAGCCGCTGCTGGTGCTGAGGCAGAGCCGCCCGTCCTGGCTCACGTCGCAGCTGGTCTGAATGTGTCCCTTGGCTGGGAAGGTGTGGGCCACCCGCAGCTCCCGGCTGTCCCAGACCCTGCAGGGGACGGGAGTGGGGAGGGAGGACTCTGGGGCCAGGATAGGCTTCCCCCGGTGTCCTCCCACACGCACTGTCCCTCAGGGGAGTCCCCGTCCCTCCTCCCAGCACGCCGAGCTCCCATCCCTGCATCCATCCGCCCTGGATCCATCTCCAGCCAGAGCAGCTGAGCTCAGCTTTCTTTTATTAATAAATTCTCCTTTTTTACCCGCAGTCACCCCCCAGGGCTGCTTACTGCCACCGCTGTCCCCGTACTGTCCTCCCCTGGCAAGAGACCACGCTCCAAAACCAACGTGAGCTGGAAGGTGGTTTCCAGCCCCCGCCCAGGGTACAGGAGACCAGGTGGTTGTGACACACAACCAAAGAAACAGCCCCTTGTGCACCAGCACCTGCCATAACCCCCAGGTGCCCCGGGCTGTAACTCCCTTCTCTGTGGCCACGTGTACGATTTACCTGACGGTTTTATCCTCTGAGGTCTGGACGACGTAAGGCTCCCCAGGAACCCAGCACAGATGTGTGACCTGCGGAGAGGAAAGGGTGAGCAGAAACCTGCCTTGGGGTGCAGACCAGGCCGGTGTCCACCCATAGACACCGAGCCACCGAGGTCCTGTCCTCTCCCTCCTCCTGCTGGGTAATGGGCAGGAAATGTTGGATGAAGAGTTTTTCTGCTTCCCACCAAAGCTGTCCCCTACAGGGTTTGATCCCAGTGCAGTTACTGGGGGTTCTTTGCAGGCAGGGAGGTGCCAACAGCCCAACAGAGCCATGGGAACATGGGCACCAGAATCATAGAATTGCCCAGGTTGGAAGGGACCTTTCAGATCATCAAGTCCAACCATCAACCCAGCACTGCCCAAACCACCACTGACCCATGTCCCTCAGCACCACGTCTACTTGCCTATAAATACCTCCAGGGACAGGGACTCCACCACTGCCCTGGGCAGCCTGTTCCAATGTTTGATAACCCTTTCAGTCTAAAAAATTTTCTAATATCCATCCCAAACCTCCCCTGGTGCAACTTGAGGCCATTGCCTCTTGTCCCATCGCCTGTGACTTGGGAGAAGATGGCTCCCACAGCAGCTCCACTGCTGGGCTGATACCGAAGGAAATGCAACCCCCGCTGCACAACGTGCGTCCCAACAGCTCGGAGTTTGAGCATTAATAAATCACCGTATTTCTCTTGGTATCTTCATGCTCCTGGGTTTGTTGTTACCTGGAGATGGGAGTAACCAGCCTCAAGCTCTGGGCTCCCCAGGTGCAGAGGCGACCTGTGTGGTGGCCCAAGGGCTTTTGTAGCACCAGGCTCGGGGCAAATTCCCTCTACACGGCCTCATGTGCCAAACAACTGAGCGAGGTGCCACCACGGGATACAAGGAACCGGGGCCTCCTACCAGATTCCTGGAGATGGCAGCTCTGCCCAGACACTCCCCGGTCTCTATGTCCCACTTGCAGACGGTGTTGTCCCGTGAGCCCGTGCACAGCCAGGAGGCATCTGCAACCACAGGTAATGTAAAAAAAAAGGAGTCAAGAAGAGTTGCCAAGGAGTCCCCGGGGAAGAGGAGCATGTTGTTCCTCACCTGGGCTCACAGCCAGCCCAGTAACAACCAAGTCGTGTCCCAGGAAGCGCTGGCTCGGCCCCGGAGCCCCGTGAAGCTCCCACATCATCACCGTCTTGTCCCGGGATGCGCTGAAGACTCTGTTTGAGGCAGAGGTGACCTGCCAAGGATGAGATGGGAGAAGCTGGTTCACCTCCTGACCCAGAGGAGAACCATGACCGGGGAGAGCCCGACCTTCAAGCTTGCGTTTGGCCATGCTGGATGTGCCCGTGCTGATCGCTTGATGCCCACGCTGAGACTCCTGCTTCCTTCTACTCTGCCAGACCCTGGCCATGGGCAACCACCCCCTCCAAGCAGGGCTGGTGGAGCCGCCAGCCCCAGTGCCATTGCTGCAGCCCCGACTGTGCTGTGGGGGACACTGGGCAGTGAGGGTGTGCCACCCACCAGTGGGACCCACCTTCTCACACAACCAGGGAGCTGGATGGTGGGTGGGTGTTTGTGGTGGACTCTGTTCTCAGAAACCATTAACTTAATGGGAAAAACTTCCTTAAAACCCCCAATGAGCCCAGTGCATGGTCACTTTGAGCACTGGAATGAACAAAGCCCCCTTCATCCCTCCAATACCCCACAGCATAAGAGACCCAGACCCACTGGGACTGTCCCCAGCTGGAGGTCCACCGGCCACCCAGTGCACACGTGTGTCTTTGCTCATGTTTCCCATGTTTGGTCTCCAAGTAGCGCTTTGGCTTTGTAATCAGGATGCCAGAAGGAAAATTAAAGCCCCACTGTTCCCAGACCTGGCTGATTTGTAGCACAACGACAAGCCCAGTGGAGTGAGACCTGGAGAAAAGTGAATGGTGCCTCTGAATTAAAAACTTGACCTAGTAATTCATGCTGAGTTATTGCTACACGGTCTCTTGGAGGGGAAGCCAGGCATACGTCCAAGCCTCCTGGAGCCCTGTTTGGTCTGGAGGTAACCCCCCCGTACTGTTTCCCTGGACAGCAAAATATCAGTTGGGACCCTGGGAAAAACCCAAGGTGTTCTGATACCCTGGTCTCTCCTTCTGTCATTCCCAGTTCCCCAGTTTCTGACCAGAGACCCCAGTGCTCACCTTGGTGACCTCCCGCTGGTGGCCGAGGAACCGCCGCAGCTCAGCCCCGGATCTCCAGCTGCAAACGGCCACGCTCTGCAGGGGAGGGAGAGGCACTCAGGAAAGGTCCATGGACGTTCTTGGTTACGTTACACCCAGACCCGTGCACAGTCCGAGCTTGAAAAGGGAACAGATTCTTCTGGTTTCAAGCTCCCATGGCAAACACAACTGTCTGTAGAGCCCATCCATTGCCAGGTACCGTAAGAGAAGGGCCAGTCCAGCGATTCCGAGCCTGGGTGAGAGCATTTGATGTGATCTGAGCCCTGGAGAAGATTCTAAAATTTGGTTCAATGTGCTTCCGCGTGTGCCCTCACTCTAAGCTCATCTTTTCTTTTTAATTCAGGGACTGAGTAAGTTGCTACTATTCACAGAGATGTTTAAAGCTCAACATTCAAACCACATCACCTCATCTTCTCTCTGTCAATACATTTTCCCGCCTGTGACAGTGCTCTGTGCTCTGTGGCAGGGGGGTACCTCACCTTATCCCTTCCCCCCGACACGCAGAGGTCTGGTGTGAGAGCAGCCACAGTGGTGACACCGTCGGTGTGTACGGGGTCGTGTCGCCGAGGGGCTCGAGCGGGTCCCGTTTCTTCCATGGAGCCAGTGGCCCTGCAGCAGAGAGGCAGTGATGGGAGCTTCAGGGGGGTTTTAGGGCAAAGTCAGGGTGTGGTTTCCCTCTTGAGAGCAAGGTCTGGGAAGGGGCACCACTGCCTGGGCTGGAGAAGGACATCACCTGCCTTTAGAAAGCTGAAGAGAAGCTGTGAATTGACAAATCCCTCCTGAACTAGGTGGGATGGAGGGGACCTGTTGCACCTCTAGAGTTGCTAAATACTTAGAATCGTAGAATCATAGAATGGTTTAGGTTGGGAGGGACCTTAAAGCCCACCCAGTGCCACCCCCTGCCCTGGGCAGGGACACCTCCCACCACACCAGGTTGCTCCAAGCCCCCTCCAACCTGGCCTTGAACCCCTCCAGGGATGGGGCAGCCACAGCTTCTCTGGGCAACCTGGGCCAGGCTCTCACCACCCTCACAGCAAAGAATTCCTTCCTGAGGTCTCATCTCAATCTCCCCTTTTTCAGTGTCAAACCTTTCCCCCTCGTCCTACGGCTCCCCTCCCTGATCCAGAGTCCCTCCCCAGCTTTCCTGGAGCCCCTTGAGGGACTGGAAGGGGCTCCAAGGTCTCCCCGGAGCCTTCTCTTCTCCAGGCATCTCCAGGCAGGAAGATCACCCACCTTCCTGCCAGATACCAAATTATTTCACCTTGCCGAGGAAGGCTGATGACAGTCTTTGAAGAGACAATGGACCGGTTTGGATATTTGGGGCAAACAGCTGCCCCTGGGGCCATCAGAGCTCTGCTGTCACAGAGCGAGACCACGCTTACAAGCTCGGCCCCTCCTGCAAGCTGTGTTTGGGATTTCAGGCCATGAAAGAAGCTGAGCGGTCTGTGGACTGCTCACCAACCAAAATCTGACTCATACGTTCAATAACGAAACTAAAACCACGTGCTTGCCATATTCTCTGTTCGTTTGCTGTTCCCCAGTCAACAGGTTGCCCAGAGAAGCTGTGGCTGCCCCATCCCTGGAGGGGTTCAAGGCCAGGTTGGAGGGGGCTTGGAGCAACCTGGTCTGGTGGGAGGTGTCCCTGCCCAGGGCAGGGGGTGGCACTGGATGGTCTTTAAGGTCCCTTCCAACTCTAACCATTCTCTGATTCTATGATTCATAACTGGTTTGTTAACTTAAAACATGTTAATCTGGGGCTGTCTTACCTGTACTTGGTGGTGTGGGAGCTGATTTTACTCTGCAGTTTCCCCATCGCCCGGCCGAGGAGCCCGGCTCCCGCTGTGACCAGCAGCGCTGAGCATCACACCAGCATCTCAGGCACCTGCTGCTGGGACAGGACCTGGGGGTGAGGAGACATGGCCTTACTGGGAATCTAGAGAGGTTTCTGCTTGCTACATGTGTGGGACAAAGTGCTGATAATGTTACCTACATCTAAACTTCATTTAGAATAAGAGGAAAAACTCAAAACCCCCGAGGATGGGACATCTGGAGGCCCCCAGTCAAACCTTTTGCTTAGAGCAGAGGCAGCTTCAGAGCTGAGGTTACTGGGACCTTACAGCTGAGCTGTGATCCATCCATCCACAACAGAGATGGAGCTGCTGCCTGTAATTCTTCTAGCATCTCAGACCTCCTCTTACTCCAGTATCCAAACTTGACTTCCATATTTCCCGGAGATCCCAACCTCTAGACTGGCAAACACAAACACCTTCAGATTGAAGCTCGACCAGCGGGTGGGACTGCATCTTTAGACCAAGAGAACTGCAGTCACAGGCAGCCTGAACTTCACTGGACCAGCCTGGCTTAACATAAAGCTCAACGTGGTCTTTCCATGGGCTGAGGAACACCTTGGGAACAGCAGCTTCTATGTCCAAACCCCAGGTCCGGGCTAGATAAGACCATCTTGCTAAGCCAGATGCCTTCAGCAAAGAAATACTTGCTGTGCAGGCTGAGACCAGCCTGCCCTGTCCCAGGTGTCCCTCACAAGCGACACCACAACCCCCAAAGCATCCCCCATCCGGGTGGAGGAGCCTCCGTTGGAGCTGGGCTCGGCCGAGGCAGCGTCTCTCCCTCGTACCCTCCCGGGTCACAGACCCAGCAGAAACCAGTCTCAATGACAGTGAATTACCACCTGCAGTAATTGGCTTCATCTGAGCTCAAGACATACTAATTGGATTTAGTCTGTGCCTCAGCATTCCCGGCTCCTGGGACAGGAGTGTGCTGTTAATAAAAATCAGAAAAAAAAACCCCACCTGCTCGATCCAGCAAATTAAAAATGTGCTTCAAGGTTCTGCCCACAAAAACCTGAAAACCACATACTCCAAGCAAGAGGGGTTGGGTTTCTACAAAAAAACATTCCCTTTCTAATTTTACCCCGACAGCCTTTGTAATTAGCAATTAGTAATACCCAGTTAATCTCCACCTGTTCTCCCCGTGAATTTGCAGGTTCAATAGACGTGAAGAACAATAAACCTCAGAGCTGAAGGGCAGGGAAATTCGGCAATTTCCCTCTTTCAACCAGAGCTGGTTCAGTGCAGCAGGAACCAACCTCATTTTTCTTTGACAACGGGAGAACCTGGGAAGTTGTTTCTCCTGCAAAACAGCATTCTAGGAAAAAAACTAAGATGTAAATTCCGATTTTTTAATTACGGTGTTAATTACTCTGTTTCCCAGCCAGCAGTTTGTCTCCCCTCTCATGTGGTTAATGTCCACGTGTGACCATCCCCACCTGCACATCAAACCCAGCGGGTCCAAGGCAGGGAGAGCTGCTGCTGCTGGTGGAGGCTGCAAGGAAAGCAGGAGGTGGATTTTCTGTCCCTGTTCTCCTGCCCACTGCAAAAAAAAAAAAGAAAAGTGGATTTTTCTGAATCCTGACCAAGGACTGTAGTTGCTCGGGCAGGACGTTCATCTGAGGTTTCTCTATCTGCAGGCTTCCCTCCGGGTGTTGAGCAGGAACCTGGTCCATCACAAAGCCCTGGGATCCTGCAGCGACTCATCCCCACAAAGCTACGTCTCTGGAGACTGAATTTGAGGCTGGGGGCTCTCCCGTGCTCCCTTCCCCACAAATGCAAGACTGAACAGAAATCAAAAATGTTTTTTTACTAGATTGCTTTTAGAAAACTAACCCGCTGTGCTGCCCCAGCCTGTCCAGACGCTGCAGGACAACCCGTGCCCTGGAGCTGACGATCCCCAACAGCAGTGGGAACAGAAATCACAGCGGAGCCCCCTCCACATTTTCATGGGGTGTTAAATGTCCCTTAGAAGAGGGGTGTCACACCGTCTGTGGGGAGGGGACAGGGGCAGCCCTGAGTCCCTATAGCCAGGGATGGCCCCACAGCAACAATCCAGGTCCCTATAGCCAGGGATGGCCCCAGTGCAATGATGCAGGTCCCTGTAGTCAGGGGTGGCCCCATGGCAGTGACAGCTGGGGCTATCCCCGTGGGTAGTAAATGGGGTCATCCTGGGTCCCATATGGGGAGGAGCCCCACAAGTAGGATGTGGGGCAGCCTGGTGGGTGCGCTATGGGTATAGTCCAGGTCCCTATAGCCGGGGTAGCCCCTGGGAAGGGTATGGGGACAACACAGGTCCCTATAGCCAGGGTTGGTCCCACGGCAACCATGCAGGTCCCTATAGCTGCGGATGACCCCACGGCAATGATGCAGGTCCCTATAGCTGGGGGTATCCCCGTGGGTAGTAAATGGGGTCATCCGGGGTCCCATATGGGGAGGAGCCCCGCCAGTAGGATGTGGGGCAGCCTGGTGGGTGCACTATGGGTATAGTCCAGGGGTGGGTGCGCTATGGGTATAGTCCAGGTCCCTATAGCTGGGGTAGCCCCTGGGAAGGGTATGGGGACAACACAGGTCCCTATAGCCAGGGTTGGTCCCACGGCAACCATGCAGGTCCCTATAGCTGCGGATGACCCCACGGCAATGATGCAGGTCCCTATAGCTGGGGGTATCCCCATGGGTAGTAAATGGGGTCATCTGGGGTCCCATATGGGGAGGAGCCCCACAAGTAGGATGTGGGGCAGCCTGGTGCGTGCGCTATGGGTATAGTCCAGGGCCCTATAGCTGGGGGTGGCCCCATGGGTGGTAAAGGGGTGCATCGTGGGTCCCTGCAGATGGGGGGAGCCCCACAAGCAGGATGTGGCAGATGCACTACAGGTACAGTCTGGGGCTATAGGGACCCAGGGAAGCGTATGGGGACAACACAGGTCCCTGTAGCTGGGAGTGACCCCCCCGGCAATGATGCAGGTCCCTATAGCAGGGGGTGTCCCTGTGGGTGGTAAAGGGGTGCACCCCAGATACCGTATGGGGGGTAGCCCCACAAGTAGGATGTGGGGCAGCCTGGTGGGTGCGCTATGGGTATAGTGCAGGTCTCTATAGCCGGGGTAGCCCCTGGGAAGGGTATGGGGACAACACAGGTCCCTATAGCTGGGGTGACCCCATGGCAATGATGCAGGTCCCTATAGCTGGGGGTATCCCTGTGGGTAGTAAATGGGGTCATCCTGGGTCCCATATGGGGAGGAGCCCCACAAGTAGGATGTGGGGCAGCCTGGTGGGTGCGCTATGGGTATAGTGCAGGTCTCTATAGCCGGGGTAGCCCCTGGGAAGGGTATGGGGACAACACAGGTCCCTGTAGCTGGGGATGACCCCATGGCAATGATGCAGGTCTCTATAGCTGGGGGTATCCCCGTGGGTAGTAAATGGGGTCATCCGGGGTCCCATATGGGGGGTAGCCCCACAAGTAAGACGTGGGGCAGCCTGGCGGGTGCAGACCAGGTCCCTATAGCCTCGGCATCCCCAGAGAAGGCTGTGGGGCCGCCCCATGGGAAGGCGACGGGGCCGATTTAGGTCCCTCCAGCGGGGGTTGCGAGGCTCTGGGGGCAGCCGCAGCCCCGGGCACCCGCCG